GAGTCTTTAATTAAATAAATTACCTGGATACTTGTTAAAATAATTGAAGTGGCTGCTGAATGAATAGATTTAGAAAGTTTTGAAAGAAAGCATATTTTTCTCCTTTAATAAACCCATCTCCATATTTTCTAGTAAAATGGCACAACTCCAACTGAGAAAAAATAACTTTCTATAGTTAAAGCAATCCATTAGTTCTGAATTCATCTCTCTAATAAGCTTTAAGATTTGTCAATTATCAATTAAGTGTCAAATACACCTATTTATGAAATAGCTCTTTTATGACTCAAGATACATGGGAAATATAACTTAGATTGACACACATCTACTTAGAAATGGTACTCATGTTTTATAATGTGGCAAGTTAGAGTGTCTATTTTTTAAAGTTACCTCATCAAGTCTGATCTTATTTATAAAATGAAACCTAGTGGAATAATAATTTAGATATTTCCATAATATTAAAATATCTGTGATCAATGTCTCAGTACCTTTTCATCTTGTGAGGAGACGCATGGTCAAATGGGAACTACAAAGTCAAACTGAACAGCAGTGAACGATACAAAATAAAGCTCTTTAGACAAGCCACGAAATCATTAGTTTTGCTAGTTCTTATTTTCATGGTCTCTGAGGTGAAAATAAATATCCAACACATGAATCTTATTTTCACCGGGAGTGGGGTGGGGGGTGGGGGGGCTTCTACCTTCTTTTTTAGAGTATGCCACTCCTCAATGTTAAGATCGTTTAAAAAAGAGAATCATCAAAACCTCTGGTCAGGAATCTTATTCATTTCATAAATGGGAAGATAATGTAAAAAAGAAAATGGGGAACATTTAAGCTATTCTCCATTAATTACTAGAAGACAACACCAAAAGTGGTGAAAGTAAATTCGAGCTTCGCTGCACCTGGGATGCTTGGCGCACACCATTTTACGTTTTTCTGTGAGGATTCGGACATACCTGCCTTCATCCAAGAAACTGTGGTAACATATGGGCTTCAAACAAAGCCTTATCCACAAGAAAAAAAATTTAGAGTTCCTTTATCACTGCATCACACACCGCGCTTTATTAGCATCTGCTATTTTCTCTTCAAAACATGTGAGAGTGGCCGGCAATCTTATTACGGCTCATCTATACTTCCAGAGACCCAGCGCGCAATCTCCTGTTTGTTGCAGGAGACTTTATAACTGACAGCTGCTCTTTCCAGGCAGATGCTGTCTCTGTAATCTCTATTTGCTGTCACACCTCAGTTTGCCCTTCTCACCCCGTGATCCTCTGTGCTGGGTGTGGACCAGTCGGATATGCCTTTGCTTTGCCGACATTAATGAAAAGCATCCACCTGCCCAAACCACAGAGTAACTGGCCTGGATCCTAACGATAGCTTGATCCTTATAATATCTCTACCTCCACACACCAAGATGGGTTCTGTACTCGCAAGCTCCTGATAACATAAAAATACTGTTAGGAAAGAAAAATAAATATAATCAGTTGTTCTTTTTCTTCCCTCAATATGGCAGATCAGAATGTAAAACAAGATCCCATGTTCCATAATTACTTGGCAAACACTGGGAGACTACAAGACAAACAAAGAGCTTTTTCATTTGCTACAGTAACTACACCATGGGAAAACACAGTAATATAACAAATGTTTTCCACTGAATGGCAGGTGGTGGATGAAAAATTAATAGTTTACCTTTAGTGGACAAAGAAATAGACGTGAAACAGAGTTTGACAGACTCAAAAGGTCATTTTCAGCTTGATTTCATTCACACAGGAAAAGGATGCTGGTCATATTCAGAACTGGTTGTATTTCTCAAATATTTATCCATTTTTCTTTGCTCATTCTTCTTACGGGATGAACAGGACATTCCCCGAGAAAAACCGTGCACAATTGCAATAGTCTTGCCTTCTTTCCAAGAAAGAAGAGGCCTAGGAAAGCTTGGGTTTTCAAAGCCACATTTTGAAGTCAGACACATCTGCTCTCGGTGAGGTTTGCAAATAAAATGTTTCTCAAGGAGTTTAGCTACCTGGCACATAATAGCCATGCTCTGGCATCCCATTTAAAGGAGTTAGATAAACTTGCAGCTCAGTCATTAAAAAGAGGGCACAGAATTTCTCCTGTACGTCTTTTCATCTGGTTTCTACAGAGTCACGGGGCAGTAGAGATAGGATGAATCTCGCAGACTGTGCAATGACCTCCTCATCTTATACAATAGTACACCAGTGATTAGGCCAAGGTCACAAGAACAAGTTATGGGGAAAGTGGTAACTGACATGCTGTGTCCTGTCTGTGATTCTTTCTTCAACCACATAGTAGAAGGTACAAGGAAGAAGCTACAGTTTAGAATGTGTGCAGCCTGGGGTCAAAAATGAAGAATGGAAGGAACTGGAGTGAATTTCCATCTCCTCATTCCAGCTAGGACTATATCAATAGGCATTGCCTCACATGAATCCTTAATTTGCCCTATAAAGAACCAAATATATTTTGCCCTATGAAATACTTGCTTATGGTTCTCATTCCAAAGCCAAAAGACATGATTATTATGCAGTTTTATAACTATGATATTCATTATAACTGTTCCTCTCAAAATGTATACATGAGAAACTTTATCATGGAGCGTTCTTTTAAATATGTAACTGAGCATCTGATCTTTCCTATGTTTCCCTGAAACTAGCCTCTGAATGCAAAGCAGCAGAGGCAGGTGAAGGGTTCTGACATCTATGAAGCCACTAACGCTTCCCTAACACTCTAGAAAGGAAGAGTGCTCTATACACAACAAAGTAAACAAAATGCCTCCCACAGCTTCTCAGTTTCCTTTACAGAAATTAAGAAGAGTATAAATACACTTTATAAACCCTTCTCTTTCTGATCATACTCCTGCCCTCCACTGTCGAACAGGCCTTTCCAACACAGGCACCTGACCCTCTTCCCATTCAGCCCCATTTCTTGTAAGAGTCACTCACAGAGTGTGCCTTCCTATACATAGCTCTGACCAAATCTCTCACACACCATGCCTGACAGCAGGCTCACTTTCAAAAAACAAAGGTAATAATATCATACCTGAATGCTAAGGATAGTGATAAGGGTGGAAAGGACTTTGTTTATAACATTTTTCTATGATTAAAAGGATACTAAACAATAATTGCCTCCAAATGCTTTGCTGCTGTTAACACATTCATCCTAATAACTTTAGACTCTAAAAGAAATTTGGAGGGATTTAGGAAAGGATTAAGATAATAAAATTCAATATGCTTTTTATATACATATGGATTGAAAGATAAAAGTAAGCTGACAAACTCTAAAATTATTCACCTTAAAGAGATTGCTTTTATAAAAATTCATTACATTCCTTAGCTTCATAATTTTAGAGCTTAAAAAGAATATGATACAAAGATGAAAAGTTATTCTGCTATAACTTAAAGGAACATAACTCCGAAATTGGAGTTCTTTTTTCCTATAGTCTATCGGGCCCCACAGTCAACATCATTTCATGCCTCATTCCTAGAGCTGAGCACTCCATCTGCTACATGACATGTGAGACACATGCACCTTCCTTGTCACAGCCTTGAAGAACACATTTTAACCTCAATAGAAATACACATTTCAAAGACACACATTAACTGATTTGTAACACAGGCACATATGTCTGAATTTCTAATGCTCTCAATATTAAGGAGTACAGGAAAAATAGCAGAACATAAACTTTAGATTCAAAAATAAATTTCTTATGTTAATGCAGAGGAAATTAAAATTTAGTCCTAAGGAAGGTAAAAGATGTGTCTGCATGTGCCTGCCAATAAATATCTAAGTTAAAGTTAGTAAGAACCTGATGGAGCTACTATCATGTATATCTTAGATTTTGGCTTATAGTTTAGGGATTTCCTGGAAAACAGTCTGCTTTTTAGGGAGCTAAAACTTAAAAAAAAAAAAAAAAAAAGGATTACTGTTAGAAAGTCAGGATGCAAAAGAACCCAAATATGAATAATTTACAGAGAAAATTCAAACAACAGCATATTTATACTTGGCAATAACAATCCCAGAATCAATATTAAAATAACTCTAAACCAAAACCAATAATTATGAAAGAACATTGCACAACACCAAGAAAAACTACTCTGCAAATCAACTTGGTAAGATCTCAATGTCAAACATCCTAATGACCCAGAATAGTTCACATAATTCTTTCAATTCTTTTAATGTGCAGCAAGATGTGCTTTAATTGAACATCTCATATATAGTTCTATGATTTGTGTTACATGGCCTGAATATATAATACAAAAACAAAAACTTTCATTATAACATTATATTAAAATGTTGCCAGAATTACTTTATTTGACCAAAAGGAAACATTGTAAACATATTATAACCTATATTAGTGTAATGTGGTGGTAAATGATATGATTTGAAAACATAGATGTGGAAGTTTGGTCCTTACCATGGGTGATATGCTCTGAGAACAGCAGCCACTTCTTCCCTGGAATGGGTGCAGATAATTCTGGTACAGCTGCATGCCATACTGCAGAACAAACAGACAAAACCACATTCCAAAGAAACCAGCTCATCGACAATTCATGAAAGTCAACACTTTCCTTAATTATACATTATCGGTATAAAAATGAATTCTAGCATTTCTTAAAACAAACCAATCAGATTTTCTGAACTATAACTTTTAGCCTTCTCATGATACATTTCCTTGGGTCCACAGCTTGAAGTCCAGCTTACCAGAACAAAGATTTAGAGTTGGCATTTCTACTTAGTGCCAAAATATGGCATAGTCTTGTGGAGGAGAATAATGCCTAGTGTTAAGAAGGCTGACTTGGAAAAGATGCTCTTCTTTTTGGGAAAAAGACTCTGAAAACATTGTACGTCCTAAACTTCACTGTGTGAAATACACTGTTACTCTGGTGATTGATTGATGAATTGCTTTGTTGCTTAAGCACTTAACAAATTAGGTCCAGTGTTAAAAAAAAAAAGAAAGAAAGAAAGAAAAAACCCTTGGCAGTATATTATCCTTCCATAAATACTTGTGTGTATGTGTGTGTGCATAGCATGCATTTAGGTGTGTTGTGTGTGTATAGTATGTACGTGTGTGTGCATGGGAATATGTGTAGACCAAAGAAAACCTTGTGTGTCCTTCTTCAGGTGCTCTGTATTTCTTGTGAAAAGTGGTCTCTCACTGGCCTAGAACTTGCCAAGTATGTGAGGCTGGCTGACAAACCAGCCCCAAGGATTCACCTGCTTCTGCCTCCCCAGGGCTTGGTTTACAAGCTTGCACTACGAAGCCCTGATTATTTTTGTCTGTTTTTGTTTTTTTTCTTTTAAAAGTATTTTACTAGTTATTATATTTTGAACATATTCCTCCTTCCACAACTCCTCTCAGACCCCATTCACCCTACCTCCCTACCCACCCAACATCATGTTCTTCCCCCTCCCCACTAGAGACTCCAATATGTGTTTCCCAAATACTCTTGGGTGTGGAACCCACCCTAGATTGTGTTTGACCTACTGGGGGTCACACCCTTAAAGAAAACTGACTCTTCTTTGATTACAGAAGTTATCAAATGTCATTAACTCCTCAGCTAGGAGGGGGAGTTCATGCCCACTTCTAACCCTCCATGATGGGATTTTGTCTGCCTTGAGTTTGAACAGGTCTTGTGCATGCTGTCACAACTGCTATAAGTTCTTATGTGCAACTGCCCAGCTGTTTGGAAAACTGCTTCTTTGTGGTAGTCCACAACTCTGGCTCTTACAGTCTTTCAGGCTCCTCTTCCACTAACCTCCCTGAGCCTTGGGAGAGGAGTGTGATATAGATGTCCCACTTAGGGCTGAGCATTCTGAACTCTCTTATTCTCTTCAAACTGACCAGTTGTGGGTTTCTGTGTTAATTATCTTCTAAAGTAAGAAACTACTCTGATGAGAGTTGAGAGCTACATTAATCTATGGATATCATTATCAATAAATCATTGAGTCATTTTAATACTATGTCCACTGAGCAGAATATTAGTAGCAGGTTCCCCCCTAGGGCCCATGACTTATTTAACCATAGGATTTTGGCCCTGATAATAGTATCAGTTATGGGTTCCATCTCATGGAGCAGTCCTTAAGTCCACTCAGAGGGTGATTGTTGACACCCAAAACATTCATACCACTATTGCACTAATGGGTATATCTTGCCAGGCCAGTAGTTTGTGTAGCTCACAGAATTCACAATCCCTGCTTATTGTTACATGGGTTCTGGGGATCAAACTCAATTTTTCCTGCTTGCAGGACAAGCACTTTACCAACTGAACTATCTCCCCAGTCCATTTTTCCATAAATTTTCTTATGGCATTACATTTTGGCTTCAGGGATCAAAGTAGTGGGGGATCAAGTGGATTTCAAACAGAAACTTTCAATTCACAAAAGGTAAACTATGACTCTGTCTTTATTTTCAGGAGAGAGCATCATGAAGAATGAGCTGAAAGGCCACAGTGAGAAAGTAGATCAGGTTCCTTGTTGGATTATGAGTCTGAGAAACAAGATTACCACCGACCATAAGCAAACCCACTTTGGAGATGACACCATGAAAATCTGGATGCTATTACCTTAAATTTAAGTCACTTTGCTTAAGAAAAGAAAGCAATGGGATACACAGCTTTGTTCATTTTAATTATTTGGTACACTCCAGATATCACTGCCTGGAGCTCCATCACCTGCCTCCACCTTCTTCCTGGTGCCAGCTTTTGACACAATAATTACTATCTCTGAATGTGCATCTGAGTCAGCAGTGTTGAGCTGCACTGGAGATCTGGACAAGATAGTGCAGGGGCTTGGAAGGTGGGGACAACAGCTTTGGGGAAGCAGAATGTAACAGGTTGAATATGATTATTTCTCATCTATTCCACTTGGAAGAATAAAATGACCAACTCTACATCCAACTCCAAGAGCAGCTGGAGTCAAACCAACAAACACATTTTAAGGTTCAGGAGTTGTTTTGGGCGGCTGCCACTGATGCCTGACCTCTGGCTCGGAGAGCCCAGCCTGGGCTTCACCACCTGGCTCAGACACTTTCTTAACAGCTGGCTTCACATCCTGTGGTGAGTTTCCCAGCCTTGACCACATTCTAACACTCCCAAGGCCTGCCTAGGCCAGCCCCCTGTGCCTTGTGCCACCTTTTACGGCCAAGTGTGGACTTGTGACACACTGTCTGCCTGCACTATGCTTGGAAGCACCTACCCTGCCCAAGCTTTGCAGACCACATACATTAAATGGTTCCCTGTTTTAAAAGAAATCAACTGAGACAGAAAATGAAAGTTATGTCCTATAAAGAGACTGAATAGACAACATGGAATCAAATCTTACCCATAGGATGTATCCTATTTAAACATTCCAGCAGAGCTATTTTCCTCCTAAAGACTATTTCCTTAAAGGAATTCCCACAAAGTTAATATATTTGGTAATTAGGTAAAATATCAGAGAGGGACTAGAGGAGTGACTGTATTCAAGAATTTGCTTTTAACATGAATACAAACTCACATTAATTTAAAATTCTCTGAGCCGAATTCTTTATCCAATTATTTTCCAACTTCTAAAAATTAAGTTTTTAATTTAAGGTTTGATTGACATTAATAGGACCTAATGAAATTTAACCCTAAGCCAACAATGAGAGAGTAGAGGAGCTTAATTCCTAGACAAGCTCATTTTAGAGAATGGATAGTAACTTCAAACCATACTTGCACAAGAAGCATGCTGCTTGCCACCTTTTATTTATCAGCACTGAAAAGCCCACTACCTATTAATAAGACTGTTTTCTTCAAAGATGCGTTGTCCTGAGTGCCTGCAATGCCTCTGTGCTGTTGGAGTCTTTAGCAGATATTTAACTCTGGCTGAGGGGTAGGGCATGGGTCACCTAAATTTTTCCCTGTCCCATGGAGGGTCAGATAGGCACCAAACTAGGCTAGAGAGAAGCTGCAGAGTTCTAATTGAAGGGAAGGAAAGAGCTAACATAACCAGGGCATGATACAATACAGGAGCAATACTCCTCTTCTAAGCCTCAGATTTTCTATAATTCTGCATATAATTGGGATTTTTCCACTGAAAAAAAGAACATTGCCTATCCAGTTTGCATGTATACATGTTCATGTTCATGTGTATTTGTGTGATTTTATGTTTATGTATGTGAATGCACATATGTGGGTGTATACATGTATGCACACATGTTTGGAGGCCAGAGGCTGACATTGTGTGTCTTCCTCAATCTCTCTCTCTACTTTGTTTCTGAGACAGGGTCTCTCATTGAATGTGTAGCTCAGTGACTGGCAAGCCAACAAGCCGCAGGGATCCTCCTGGCTCTGCCTCGCCAGTGATGGATTATAAGCATGAGACCATACTCAGCTTTTCACATGGATGATGGATATCAAATTCAGGTCTTCATGCTTGTAAGACAAGTGCTTTACCAAGTGAGCCATCCCCTTTATATTTGATTATATATTTTTCAAGGAAAATGACAAGTTTTCTCAAGGATATGAAAAATTTGAAGCTCATATACTTGAGGACAGAAAGGTTTCAGCCACTGTAGAAAACACTTTGAAAATTGCTCAAAAAGTTAAACACAGAATTACCATATGACCAGCAGTTCAAGTTCTACTAGATATACATTCATAAAATTAAAAATCAGTACTCAAATATTTATATAAATATGTTCATAGGGTTGGCAATATGGCTCAACAGTCAAGGGAACTTGTCTCCAAGCCTGGCAACCCGAGTTCAGTCCTCAGAATCCATATGTTAGAAGGAGAGAACTGAATCCTACAAGTTGTCCTCTGACTTTCCCATGCACACCTTGGCATAGGCATGCCCCAAAATGTCCATAAAAGAATCTTTCACAATAGTAAAAATATAGAAAACAACCCCAATGTCCATCAATGGATAAATTGCTTATTCAAACTATGTATACATATATGGAACGCTAGAAAACCATAAATAGAATGAGGAGCTAATGAAAGATGCATGGAGCGAAAACATGTTAAACAAAAGCGATGTAAAAGGTCACATATTATATCACACCATTCATATGAAATATCCAGGATAGGTAAATTCATAAAGACAGAGGCAGATTGGTGGCTCCAGGGGCCTAAGAGAAACTACTTTCTGAGAATGTCATTTCCTTTTGGACCTAAATGGAGGTGACAGATTAACAATATGTTGAATGTAAAGGCCACTGAATCATTCACATTAGGATAGGTTGATAACTTTTAACTCAATTAAAAGCTAGAAAATAAAACTTTCCTCTTAACCTAGCATGACAAGTATCCCGATCCTGGCTATCCTATCCTCTTCCTGCTGATCTTGCCCCACTCAGAATGTAGAAACTGTTAACAGTTTATAAAGGTGGGGAAAATGCCAATTGCAGGGAGAAAATCAGTGTACCTAGAAAATCAGCAAACTGCAATCGAAGTGGGAAGTTCACTGCCTGCTCAGCCTCAGCCTAAAGAATGGGAATATCCAACAATTCCAAACAAGACCCTGTTTACTCTGATTTGCACTTCTAAATAGATCAAAAAGCTAGCATTAGTACATGTTTTGCTATTGAAATCCTTCCCAGTAATAAATGATATGATGTGACATGATACATAAAAATTAGTATATGTCATGATATATGGTATAATTACTATAATATGCACAATCTGCCCATTGGAAAATTATTTTCAGGCATGAACTATAAAATATTGCTGGGAAAATGTTGAGATTTCTATTTTGTCTTTTATTTTTAATTGAATTTTTGTGTATTTCATACAGAACATCTCAATCAGTCTTAATCATCTTTATACTCCTACCCCACTGGCACCCTCCCATAGCCCCCCCCCACTGGAATTCATATATTCTGTCGTTTGTCAAGTTAGTGTCCCCAGATATCCCTCAGTGCAAGTTCATCTACTGAGGTCTAGTCAGCATCTAGAGTTTCTTGCTTTAGGAAGCTCAGCTCTTCCTCACCCAGCAGTAATCAGTTGCCAATATTTCTTCAGCTAAGATTGGGGTCAGCTGTCCATTTCTCCAGTTCTAGGCTTGGTTTTTGTCTGTCTGAGTTTGTATGAGTCCTGTGCATGCTGACACCATTACTATAGGTTCATATGAGCAGGGTCCTAGGATCTTGTAAGGTTCTATTTTCATACAGTCATGTACCTCCTCCCTGGCTCTTACAATCTTTCTGCACCCTCTTCCACAATGGCTCCTAAGCCCTAGGTAGGGGTAGTTTAATATATGAGTCCTGTCCAAGGACCAGCATTCTGCAGCCTTAATCTCTACACTTGGGCTATTTGTTATCTTTTGTGTTTTTGGCCCTCTATTGCATGAGGGACCATCATTAATGAGAAATGCGGTATTCATTATTGTCTTCTCTACTCCTTGTTCTATGTTCTGTGAGCCTTAGGTGTAGAGGTTGCATGGTAGATGTTCCACTTAGACTTGGGCAATATCTGTGTGTGACCAGTTGTGGTACTATGTAATAGTCTCCATCTGGTACAAAAGAAGCTTCTTTGATGAGTGGTAACTGGGATATTTGTCTGTAAATATAAGAATACATATTTTGCACATAACAAAAAAAATACTATTTTAAAAAGAGGTTTAATTGTAATAGTAAATCCTGTTTTGTGAGCTTCCATAGCAATGTGTGATGACCAATACGGGCACGCACACTCTTTGAGCTTTGCCTTTTCAATGAAAAATGTTTTCCAATTAGATAGCTGTCACGCAGAAAATATATTTCTGAGAGATGCTCAGCCCTAAGTGACATATCTACAGTGGAACCTCCAAACCTAAAGCTCACGGAACATAGTGGAACAGGGAGTAGAGAAAATACTAATACATCTTTCAACTCTCACCAGCAACGCTTCCTCATCCAACAGAGTATGATGTGCACAAAAGGCCACAACTGGCTAGAGAATAAGCTTTAGAGAATAAGAGACTTCAGAGTGTGTATCCCTGAATAGGACTCCTATATCAACCTATATTAAACCTCACTCACCCAAGGCTCAGGGACCGTTGCAGAAGAGGGGGTGAAAAGACCATAAGAGCCAGGGTCGGTGCATGAACACAAGGAAACAGAGGCTTTCAACTTCTTGGAATTTGCTCATATGAACTTGCAACAATAGTGACAGTATGCACAAGACCCATGCCAACTCAATCAGACAAAAACCCAGCATAGAACAAGGGAAATGGGCAGCAGGTCCCAACCCTAGCAGAGGAACTATTGGCAAGTGATTACTGCTGGGTGAGGAAGAATAGATCTTCTTTAAGGGATTGACTCTAGATAGCCTGACTAGATTCCAGTTGACTGAAGGACACCTGGGTACAAATGCTTGACCAGATAGGGCTTAACATACATGATAGAATGCATGAAATCCAATGGGGGTATGGGAGGGACAGATGGGGGTGGGGGGGTCTAAATTTGATTAAGATCTAGTATATGAAATGCACAAAAATGCAATCAAAATATTTTTAAATAAATAAAAAATATTTTTAAAAAGAAAAAATGTTTTGCAGGGGCTAGAGAGGTGGCTCAGTGGTTAAAAGTGCTAGCTGGTCTTGCAGAAGCCCCAGATTTGATTTCCAACACCCACATGGCAGCCAACCCCCAGCTATAAGTCCTCTTCTGACCTCTGTGGCACTGTACCACATGGATGCACTCACATACAAGCAGGCAACACACTATATACATAAAATAATAATTTTTAAAAATATTTTATAAAAGAAAAATGTTTTCTGTAAGCACCCCACTAGTGACTACCAAAATAATATTTTTAAAAGGAAGTGATTAAACATTTTTATAATTAGAAAATTTAAGTTGTGATAAATTTACTGGCAAGGAAGTCTCAAAAATAAATGTGTTTTCTTTTTGCACTGATTTAACTATCAATTTATTTCTTGTGTGTGAAGGCATGAGCTCACATGTGTGCCATAGTATGTATGTGGAGATCAAAGGACAACTTGTGGCAGTTCTCTCCTTTTACCATGTGAGTCCTGAGGATCGAACTCAGGTCATCAAGTTCAGGGACAAGTGCAGAGCCATCTTTCCAGACACTAAATATGTGTTTTCGATACAATCTGGAAGAAACCAGTTCTGCGTCTTTCCTTTGGAACATTCTCTTTCAAAATATTCATCAACCAATTATAGTTATAGAATTGTAATTTCTGCTTGGCCTACACAGGGGGGCTTTGAAAATATATTTACAAGAAAATACACAATAATTAATACAATAATTTCAGTTGTACTTATTGAAATAGAATGAAATTTATAAAATACTTATGTGGAATATGAAACCATTTTATTTAGAAATATCGAGGTGAGCACATTGTAAGATTTGCCTCACTGTGGATTTTGCCAATTTTACAAATGCAGACTAAGCTGTATAGCAGAGGCACTTCATTCATTATACTGGCTATGTATGCACAACTCTCACAGAAGCTAAAATGAGAGCATTCTAGAAACAATACTCCACACCCAAAGGATGTACAGATTAGAGTTTGTCCACACTGTTCTGCTCAGGTTTATCTTTTGGATTAAAAACAACACACACATTGGTGACAATTATACTTCTTTCTCTTGTAGCCACACAGATTAATAGAGTATCCACACCAGGAAATATAGGTGTTTTCAAGTTTTTACGGAGCTCAGAGCATTTAAAAGGCTTTCAGTCTTCCAGCGAGATTACCTTAAGCAATCTAATGGCGGTCACCCAGCACATCCTGCTCTGCTCCTCTTCTGCACAGAGCATTTTCAGGTCTCGGGGAGCTCCTGCTTTGTGAGGCTAGAAGGCCACAGCACATTGTTTATCGTTAATGCATATCTTGAAGGTAACACCTGTTGAAATAAAAGCCACTAAAATTCTCCTATCCATAAGAGAAATCTGCCTTTTCAAAAGAAATTGAAATAAACTCAAGCTTACCTAAAAGACTGAGGCCTGCTTTATTCATCTAAAATATTAAGCCTGTACCTTAAAGCAGAATCCATAATTAGTCGGTGCTCCACGCTTTTTTTTGCCTGCCAGCGACATGTAAATATCACTTGTGCCAAATTCGCTGAAAAACTGCAAATGCCGTGGTTCCTTTAAAGAATATATATGTGACTATTGAAATGGATACATGTTTTTTGCAGTATTTCTTTTTTCATTTCTCATAGTACAAAATTCCTACCTTGAGTAAAAATAAAACATTTATCCCAAACAGAATTTCAGTGCAATGTTATGAAAACAAAATGAAAAAGAGTAGCTATTTCCTTAAATAACTAGGAACTGAAAATAATTTAAATTGTCAAGGGGCAATTTGTCTATAATTTTACTTCCAATATCATAGACAAATTCCTATTTTAAGTTTCCCGTTCACTTTAGCTAAAATGTCAAAGATCTAAAAGATAGCCAAGAAGGCTTTTGAAAATGTTTTTCTTATCTAAGTTTCAAATGGTAGGTCCAACAAAGGAGGAAACTTGGCTTGAGTTTCCTTGGAGTCTGAGAACACAGAGAAAGAGAAGAAAATCTCTGCTTCTTTCAGATGCAACCATCCCTCAAATTTGTGAGCTATCTAACAGCAGGTGTATAACTATCTTGTTTCACAAAAAGAAGGAAGCATGTACAGATGAGTTCAGGGAAATTACCTGGCATGGACTGTGTCTGATTTTTAAGCAATATGAAATCAGGAGCAACTATGTCTTCTTTGGGAAGTCCAGAAGATTTAGAGCTGGCCATGGGAAATCTTTGGGTCATATTATTCTGTGATAGGTTAATAACTTGGGGAAGTGCTTAATTCTGAGGTTGAATGTGTAATCAAAACCAGCTAGAATGCATTTGTTCTCCCAAACCTCACTACTAGTAGTGTGGGTGAAGACCTGCAAAACCCTCTCACCCGGGAGCTTGTTAGAAATGCAAAACCTCAGGGCCCACATCAGACCCACTGAATCAATAGCTGCATTTTAACAAGATCCCAGGTGATCCTGTATACACTAAAGTTTAGCAGCAGTACACACACATACACACACACACACACACACACACACACACACACACACACATACATGGTATGTTCAACAATATAAGCAACCCTGTCCAAACCCAAATACATTTCATTATGATTTATTAGTAGAATAGGCTACTGCAAGTAAAAAATGTCTCTGCATGTCCTAAGGATTTTAATAATGAAGGAGTGTAGTCCTTGACTTTATCAGAGAATAAAGTAGAATTTTAAAAAGAGAGAGAGAGAAAACCCTTTCTAAGAAAAAAAAACATATATAGCAGTGATGGAAGAAAGGTACCTTAACTGTCATGACTTTTAAAATTGTATATTCTTTGACAGAAACTGATTTGCTAATAGAAATGCAGGCTAAAAAATTATGTTGACATACATGCATATATAAGGAAAGAGAGGAAAGCTGTGTACTTAGAGATTTTTCTATAAATATAATTATTAGCCACATCTCCAAGGTTTATACTAGTGGTTAGTAATTCTCATTCAGCTGTTACATCTTCAAAACGTAAAATTATTCATCCAAAAACTCCTCACAGGGGGAAAAAACAGGATATATTCTCTTTGCTGCCTAGATATACCATATTGCACATTATGCAGCCTACATGCTGAGGTTTGTAAAACTGTAGTTCTGTAATATCTCCCAAATATTTTCTTGGTGAACATAAAGCCATTACTCTGTATGGATTACATTTAATTATTTATTGTGTGTGTCTGTTTTTATGCATGTGCACACCATGCTGTGTGTGTGTGTGTGTGTGTGTGTGTGTGTGTGTGTGTGTGACAGTCAGGGGACAATTTGTGAAAATCAATTCTCTCCTTCCACCACGTGAGTGCCAGAGATCTTGAATTCAAGTTGTCAAGCTTGGCAGCATAAACTTTTACCCAGAGCCATCTCACCAGCTCCCACGTGTGGAATAGAAGACCATTATATATTGAATATTGGTTGTATGCAGTAGAGTAAAAGAAAAATATAAATCACATTAGGCTTCAAAATCTGAAACCTCGGATAAATAAATAGGAAAAATTATTGATATATATGATATGGAGGTAAGAGCATCCGGATTCCACCAAACATATAATATATAGAAACCAGTGTGAACTAAGTCTGAAATTTTTTTTAAATTTATAGCAAATTATTAGACTATCCAAAAAAATTGTCCCCTATTGACATCAGCTAATAAAGTAATCACCATAGCAAATGGAGCCTGATGTCTTAGAGCTAATACGTTACTTATAACACACCCCAGATAATTCAGCTTACCTTTGAAGTCCCTTTAGTAGAAAAATATAAACCAGATCTTCTTAGGAGGAAGTATATTTTTTTCCATGACTTCTTTCCCTGTTCTTTTGCATGTAAGAAGCCATGAATTTCAGGATATGTGCTTGAACTTAGAAACATCTGGAAGTAAAAATTAGATGCTTGCCTAATATTATGGAAGCAATGTTATCATAACCCTTTAACAACCAAACATGAACATGCAAGATCAAATGTATCGATGTCATTTTTATTGAACAAAAATTACAACACACATGCAGAGGAAGTCTATCAAAACCTTGACACAAGTTCCAAATGAAACTGTTCAGAAAACATATACTCCAAGTAATCAATAGATAGAAAACCCAAAATTATACACAGTTTGTGTTTCTACTTGAAAAAGTAGACATCATCTAGAGAGCTAAGTCTTGATGTTTTTGCACCCTTTTCTATAAATTCCCCCTGAAAACAGAGGTTTGCCTATCAAATACATTATGCAATACAATACACCTAACATCATAATCCTAACTTGAGTTCAGGAAGTTAGCTAATTCAGGAAGTTGAGCTAAGTTCACCTCCCTAGTGAGGGTAAAGCTTGTAGTCTTTTGTCTTCTATGGCTCTCAGCTTTACATGGGTATGGCTAATTGAGTTTTCCAAAGAGAACTTGTAGAGCATCCTCCATCCAAGATGCTCTTCTGTAGTGTGGTGTTGACATTAAGCTGTGAAGAGGTGGAATCTGGTTCTCCACCCTCTTCAGTCTTCCTAACTCTGTTACTGTTTGACCCACAGAATTCAGTGGAAGCAATATTGTCAGTTCTAGGTGGAGTTCTAGCTTGATGGTTTCCATGACTTTATGGAAGCCAGCTGTCAAATAAGACATGTGATTACCTGAGGCCACCATGGGTGAGAAGACTGATGAAAGTGGAAAAGCCCTTGAGATGATATACCATGAGTAGAAAGAGAGGAAAGGGGATCTTAGAAGGGATCTTCAGCCTCCAGGCACCAAGTCCAAGTACCCCAGAGACATCCACCCAGAAAATTCCTCCCCAACTTCTGCCCCTCAAAATGGTTGGCCAAATGTGAGCGGGTACTTGAAGCCATTGAGATTTGGAAGAATTTGTTATACTTCGGTAATTAGTTGAGACGGGGGCACATGATGCTCAGGAAAAGGAGAATGAAAAGGAATGGAAGTAACTGTGCTGTGTCCTTATTAAGGCAGTGGGAATGCACCAGTGTCTCCTTCTAAAAGAAAACAGAAATCCCTGAGCGCACAAATGCAAAAATGGAAAAATTTCAGAGTAGCAGAAATCATTAACTAAAACAAGGTAATATATTCTAAAGGCCTGTAATATAGTCAGGGAAATGCTGATAGTCGATATTTACATTTTTTAAGTAAATTACTACAGAAATTTTGATGTAATGAGCCATTAATTAATTGGTATGCAAAACAGGCAAGTAGGTTTTTTTAGTTTGAGTGCTTTCCAAGTTATTAAACCAAACCAATTAAATTTTTAAAAGAGAGTCATAGAGGTCACAGTAGAAAGAGCAGAAACCTTTTAAACAGTGGAAACATTGCCTCAGTGGAGACAAAGGGTCAGGGCTTGTGCCGGACTATCTGATTCCAAAGCCTATGATTTTCTTTGTTTTTTTTTTTTTTTTTAATTTAACATTAAAGCAAGAGAACAATGTGAGAGGACTATTTAAGAAAAGCAGTGAAAGAAAACCTCCTTCCCACCACCATACCACATAATTCAGAATGAAGCATTCATGGGGCAAAGACTTAGGGTCATTTACCCTAATTTTCTAGGGTTGCCTCTGTGAGACTCAGGAGCATGGAAGTGACTTGTAGAAAAAGCTCCTAGAACTAATCATATTTATCAACCATTCTGAAGGGTAAAAATAGAATACATCCTATTACAATGCCCACACGAAACAAAATTTTGATAGATACACTTGCCAGATATGTTTAAAGTCATGCTACATTGGGAACATAAAACATAGTCTTCATTAAAGACAAGGACTATTCAGAGAACATCCAGTCTTGCTCAAAGAGAAACGATGACCCTGAGAATCAACTGTGGGTACCAGAACTACTAATCTAGTAAAAACAAAATAACTGAAACGTTTCATTTATTGTGATAATAACACCTTAGAAAAAGACCATTCCCAACAACTGCCAGTGTGATAGACATGAGCCCAGTAGACTAACATTGACTTTCAGTGAGATGACTAGCATTCTAGACTGAGAGAATAATATCATGCAATTGTTTTCATCATAGCTCCTGTGAGTTCTGGCATGTCAAGTGGATCGAATGTTCTGCATCTTTCACTTACATTCATTCCATTGCTATGTATTTTCTCATAAATACAGTTGAGGGTATTTGTTATGAAAATTCTGTGTCTGCTGATAAAGTGTGGCAATACTAGGAAGTTTGATTTTCTTTTCCAAAAAAAATGCACATTTTCATTACAAATGACAGAGCAAAACTGTAAGTTTCCTTTCATGGTAAACATTTTTTATGTGCTGAAAATTCTTTGACAACTGGGGAAAAAATGTTATTAAGGACTTTTACTGATTCAGTAAATTTTTTATCCAGATTGTTTTTTCTTTCTTTTTTGGTTTTTACCCATCAGGAAAAATGATTCATGCAAAGTAAAACATTTCAAAATCTGGCAATAGCTTAGTAAATACCACAAACTTCCCATTTGTTGTATGTTCTTACATAGTTTAGTGAGAATATATTTTACCTGTAGAACCTGTGTAGGGGCTATGTCACCACTGGTTTCAGTTGCAAAAGATACCATGTGCTCTGGAAAGAAATACTGACAAAAGACAAACAGTGTAAACCTATGCCAGAAAAGATTCACTTATGATCAATATAGTAATCTAAAGCAAAAATTGTTGAAACCAGGGTATCTAAAATACTTGCAAAGTGATTTTTAAAATGCCATTTCTAAACCTAAATTGTGTGGCCTCTTACTGAACCCACAGATAATCAGACATCCAGAGTGATGCTAATGGAGGGAGCCTGGTGGTTGAGTTACAAAAAACAGCCCTCCAGTTGACAGTGAGTTCGCACTCCCATCACTTCCTTAAGTCCTGAAACCACTCTACTAGGTACTGGAAGACTCCTGACCCATTTTACAAAGTCAAGGCCCATAGACAATGTAAAGGGCAAAGGCTGTGTCAAGGGCCACAGCCCAGAACATAGAACAGCCAGGACGCAGCTGGGAAGCTAAAAGTCTAGTCATTTCTACCTACTGTTTTTCCAAAGTTGTTTAATCATAAAATTCACCTCAGGAAGTTGTTTAAAATAGAAATTCCCAGGCCTCATTCTCAGCTTTTCTGATTCAGAAGGTCTGGGCAGGTCTTGAAGTCTGTGTTTTTAATAAGTACTGGGACTCCCCTAGGTAAATTTCATGATCAGAAAAGTTTGAGAACATATATTCTACTCTATTTCCTCCAGGAGAGGGTTTGTCAACAGCTGTCCACTAACATTTTGGTCTAATAATTCTGTGTTGTAGGGGCTGACCTGTGTAATATAAGACTTAACAGCTTCCTAGCCTCAACCCACCAGCAGCTCTCTCGCTCACCCCTTGCTGTGACAAAAACATCTCCATAGATTGTTAAACCACTCCCAAGTAAAGAACTACTACTCAAATCTACAAAAAAAAAAAAAAATTCCAGCCCTTGTTTAAATAAAAACAAATAAAACAAGAAAAATGAACACTGTCACATTTCTTTAAATATAACTTTTAAATGCATGCCTTAATAAAGACTCTCAATAAGAAAACACTTTTCCTTTTGAACGCAATTCTATTTCATTTTTATTAGAACTCTCATTTTCTTTGTCAAAGATCATCCTATTATGTTTCTATTAATAAGTTACAATAAAAAAGAATGTAAGAGGTCTTTCAGGGTTTGAAAATATTCTATTATGGTGTGTATCATATATTTTTCATAAAGGATCATTTCAATCCAATTATCCAAAACTTAGTATAAAAATATACCACAGCTGCAGAGACAAAAACAATTTAAAATAATGAGCCCAGAGGCGATTCTGACTTCTTGAGCTCCCCATCTTCATTAGGATGACATACATTTACTTTCTTTTAAAGAGAACTATAATGAACGCAGTGTTTACCAGATAATGTGCTGCTCTTTATCTCATCTCTACTTAGCTTAGAAATTATCACACTGAAAACAAAACTGTTTAGGGAAGAAAGATGCATGTCAATCGTAAATTTCTGGCTAAGCTGCAACATTCTCCACAATCACCAATTTACTTTAGAAAGTATTGTGCTTTCCTGAACTTTAAGAAATATACTAAGCTATAACATTTGGAAGACATTTAAGGTCTTAAAATAATTGTTTATTTTCTAAATCATATACATAATTTGCCTTTTTTTTCTAAAAGGCAAGTAAAAGAAGCAATAGTACTCTGTTAGTTTTCCTGATATTTTGAAATTAAATAACCAAATTCATCTCCATTCAGATTTTGCCAATAAGGTTAAAAAAAATTGCTTTACCTATGAATCTGAACTACCATGCATCAGGTTAACTAAACATTGTGAGAATAGGAAATCTAAGTGCACATTTAATATAACACTTTTCTTCACATAAAATTTAATTAACTCATAATTCCTTAACTGTTAGTGGAGATTCCACTTACCATTGGGTTCTTAAAGAATTCATATTTGGCATAATTTTTTCTAAAATACAGCTTATTTTCTTCTTCCATTCCCCAGTTAGAGAGAACTTCCATGACCAGTTCATGGTCTTCTATTGTTCTTTCTGTAATAATGTTTCAAAGAGCATGTTGTCAGATACACTCAAAGAGACAAACACTCAAATACACACCAATAGATAAGCATCCAAACATATAAAGTAAGTTATGTATGTATCATTCATAATGTGTTACCAAAGAGCAAGTTTAAGCTCAATTCTTAGATACCTAGACTGATAAGATTTCTTTTCAATTCTGAATTGCTACATCAGTTTTTATACCAAAGCAGTCATCTAAAAAAGCAATCTAGTTTTGCTAATTCTTAATCTTCCTTTATTGCCATGTAAATTGCTATATGTTTGATAACAAATCTGTATTAAGACATGAGAGCTATTCTTTCTTTACTCATCATGGTGCCAAAATTAAAATATTTGCTCCAGGTTTGAACAATTCACCTTATTAAGAGATGAAGAATTTTGACAGGTTCAATATGCATTTGAGACACATAATCCAGGTAGTTGAGAAAAATTAAAATAGATAATTTAAAGGGGAAAATTTTAATTCAAGTACATAAAGGTTTTTTTTTATGAAGCTCAATTCCTCATGGCAGTTTAGACTTTCAAAACTAATTTAAGGAAAATAAATTTTGCATTAACAATGAAGATAATTAAGTAAGGTAGGAAGGCACTAAATAGAAAAGACATTAAATGAATCAAGCAATGGAAAATTTTAAGAAGTAAAACCCAACCTGCCAAATTCTCATTTTAATAAAACCTATGGTGGAATTTTTAATAGTATTATTAATAATAGCCCCAAATCAAGAAATATTCAAATGTCCATTGAGAGGAGAATGATATTTACAAGAGGAGAGATTGCACATATTTCACAGTACCCTGTA